TAATTTATGGTCTTGACTGAAGCCAAATGTCTGTCACATTAATACCGGGCACAGTTATAAAGAGTTTTTATGAAACTTCACTCAATTTTGTTTCGTGGGTTCATCGAGCTCCTCGTCACCCTCATTAGACCATATTTATGACAAATGTATCATAATTTGGTTTAAAATGCCAAAACCGATTAACTTACGTAGGCTGGCCTGGAGTTGTTTACCTTTCTCAAAAATGAATGACAAAGGTTCGTGTAGGATGGTAGTCCTGTCGTCTGCCACTCATGGGTTGAACATTAACTAAAGAGTACGCAGCATAAATTACATATCAAACGGATTTGTTGGCCGAGTCCGAAGAAATGGAGATTGGGTGGGGAATTAATTACTGCAGCTGTATAGTAATAACTTGAATTGATAGGCAGTACTTTAAGCAAAACCACCGTGCTTGCTTCTTGACGGAGTGAAGCACACCGCTGTACGCCTCCACCGCAGTCGTTGCGATCGAAGTGAAGATTCAGTAAGGTTTGAATGACAAATCCTGATGCAAGCTAAACGTAAAACTTTCTTATTTAAAATTGTAGTTACACGAAAAATGCCATTTAGACACGCAATGCCCTTGTAAACACAAACACAAACTCACACACGTGCGATCCCAATTGCGATTCGATATTCACAAGGAAGAAAACTGTGAATTCTTCATGAAAATCAGTTCTCAACGTTGAGTATGCTTATCTCTCCTACGATCTGCAATGCTACTGAGTTTGCGAGAGATTAGATTTGGTTTATTTTCATGTAATTTTGGCTTGTGATTTTGCGTAAAAGCAGCTAGCTACTTCGTAAGTTAAATCAACTTTTATTTTTGGCAAAGTAACTAAAGACTATACTGCCCTTTAAAAGCCGCACTTAGTCCAAATTTTAATGCAGTGGGCTGATAAATTAATTATACTCAGGATACGAATTCGAGTTCATATTGTGGCCAACCTTCCCAGCAGTAAATTATTAACAAAATACGAATAAAGATTGAATTTTCACTCAAATTCTGCATTCATTTACTAATCTCCGAGCAAATTTGCATTGCAAATGTAAAAACTTTTCTGTCTAATATAAGAAACTTTGTGTTCCACTATTGTAAGATAGTTATAATGAACAATCAAGTGTAGTGTGCTCTCATTAACAAATCCTAAGCTGAGCTGAATGAGCTTTTTGAATCCAACAAACAGATAATTTTGGTGCATTTGAGTTAATATTAGTCAATTGTGACCTTGTCAACTATACCATCCACCCAATTTAAAATAGCGTTTCTCCAATGAATGGGTTGATAATAAAAATGTCCAATGCGCGCCTCATTTAGGCTTATTCCAACGAAAATTGCAAATAATTATATCTATACAATGAGCCTAGAATGAAAGTTCTTCGATTGGAAAGTTATTATCAGCAGAACGATGAAATTCTATGTTGACAAGAATATGGCTTTGCACAGAATGACATGTACTATATGTACAAGTTGGGGCGGTATATATGTACAATTTTCATATGGATGAGCAGAGATGTGACCCCGTCAGATGTTTGACAAAAACACGCACACACACGCTTACTAAATGTAAACTACTTTCTGTATGTGCGTACTCACTTGTGAGGAGGTTGTTTGCCATCACTATATGGTTAGGCTATCACAAAGAGACACTGAGTCACGAAACAATGTTATCTAAGGGATTAGAAAATACACGGGTCTCATTTGGGATCTGTTTTCATCTACGGGTCCACTACGTCATTGGAGGCATTCCCTTTAACACCTGTACATGACGCGATTTCCAAATGTCTGTAGAACCTCTCGGGTGGCACTTGATTGGGTCGAAATTCGCGTGCTTTAGTCCACAATTTCACACCGTTTACGGTTGGAGTTAAACAGGCTGGTGCACTGGATGGTGTGGGTAGTGGACTCCTTTGAAATTCTGCACTCAGATTTGGTATGTAACTGTCATAATTGCTACGGGTACTGACAAGACTTTCTCGTCGACTCATTAGCTGTGAAGGACGCGGAGGGTTGTTTTCCAAAAGGTCTTCATTCTCCAATGTTTTGTCAATTTGATCTGGATTGAGATGAAGTGGGGAAGAGAGATTGCTGGAAGTTTGAGTTAGATGAGGTTTTGACTCCTCAGGCACCTCTACATTGAGGTCTGAAATTGAGCGAAGGAAATGTTTTTCAGACTCTGCATTTGGAGCTTCAACTACCTGACTGGTAGTGCTTGGTGAAGTGTAAATTTGAGAATTGGTGAGGGGACTCAGACCACGTGGCTTTTGTCGTCGTTGACGTTTACTGCCTGAAACAATGGAGTTTCCGCGGGAAAGGGAATTGCAATAACCCGCTCCAGATTTATGTGGCAATCCAAATTGATGTGAAAACGTTTCAGTTCGAATTCGTGTATTTATATCACCACATTGAAATCGAAGGATGTAAAGAAATGGCAATCGAAATTCTCGATTGAATAAGGCGTAGATGAGAGGATTCAAAAAGCTGTTTCCATAGCCTATAATTTTCAGAAAGAGAAGACTCATCACTCTTCTGTAAATTGTTTAATTATATTATAAAATTAACTATTTTGACTGCAATCAAGTTTTGGTAAGATAATGCCTTTGACATTAATTTCGCTTAACGTCAATGTCACAAAGTATGCCTTACTAAATCCTGATGCTTATCAATCATTATAGCAATGCTAAGACCTCTCTTGAACAAAAGTGAGATGTTTTGATTAATGTGAGCATAAATGAGACATTAGTTCGGCAATTTTATGCTAACACAAGTATTTATTTTTGTGAGATACGAGAGAGAAGGTGGCCTATAAACCCCAAAATACGAAAAATTGTTAATACAACTACCATAATGGAGGCGAATTTAATGCATCGGGATAAGAGACTGCGCTAAGTTGGAAATAAGACAGGCAATGCAGTTGCAGAAAATGAAAGTGGAGGCGCAATATTGTGCCTTTCCTCTTGCCAGTAGACTACTAAGGGTGTCTGCTTTTAATCTCCCTTTCCACTCTCCCTCCCGTCCGCCCTCCTTTCCTGCCTTGAACAAGCTTCTATTGGCTCAATTTGTACTGCAGTGGACTTAAAACGACACGAAAGTAGAATTTTCTGTGCATATAGTTGCTCCACACTCCAGAGGCTAATTCCCACTTTCCCAATTTTTTTTGTTTTTGACCAAAAAAAAGTCAATCCTTTAAGGGGGATTTTAAAATTTTAATTTTCTTCCTTGTAAGTGCTGTCGCTATATGGAGGAAAAATGGCGCAATTATTTCTTCCCTCCTTCTGGACCTAAACGATCTTTATTTAGGAGGGTAAAAGATGAACGTATGCTTTTATCCCCAAGAATTAAACACATGCATGTTTGGGTAACCGTGATTTATGGACTGGAACCATGTCCACATATGGCCGTACATATTACAAATTCATTAAAAATTTATGCAACACTTTCTATGCAAGAGGTTTTGATTTATGTAAATCAAGATGTGCAAAAAACTACCTCTACCTTGGTCCTGCCAAATGCCAACAAAGTGGATTTACCCATTCACGTGCATTTGACACTTTGACAGGAGGGAGTAAACTCACCCAGCCAGACGAACACCTGAAAGAGGGTTGGGGGAATGGAGAATTTTTGCTTTGTGAAACGGTTGATGATTGGAGTAATGAGCTAAAATTTCAAAGAGCCGAAGCATAAATTTCGTACTTTAAAATAGTGTAGTAATTGTAAAATACTCAGAAGGAAGTTAATTGCTGCAATGCAAGGAAATAAAATAGACGTGAAAACGTGGGGATCATTGTCTAAAAACGGTGACACGGAAGATACTTCAATGGGAGTACAGGGTAAGGCATTGGAGATGGGTCTCTGAGTTGCCAGCCGCCTTCTAAAGCGATGCCTACTTCCAGCCGTGTCCTAAGTCTACAGGGCAGTGCGGAAAACCAACCAACCCTTACGCATCCTGAATTTGACTACAATCCCTTAGACGCAATTTAAAAAGCCAAAGTTAAAAACCCAAAAAAACCTTTGCGGAACTTTTTCAAGAAGGTGTGTTATAAGTTTTACGTAATTGTAAGTCCGCAAACAATCAGGAAGGCATAATTTAATGCTACAACGTATCACATTATTAATTAACCTGATTGAAGGAAGAACAATAAATGAGAAGATCGCCCTTCAACTAATTGCGCAGTTTTGTGATGTATCATGCTTTGTTTTTAATAGGGGAAATCTAATTTTAGTCAATTACGAATGTGCAATCTGGTGTTTAGCACTGAAAATCACGCAGGACAAAAGATTAAAGCTCGATTTGAAATACAAGACGACGCAGGTGTCACTAAATTTAATGCATTTTAAGTAAACAGTATTTCAACCTAACCTGAGTTATACTCACAAGAAAAAGTTCCAAGAATTGTGGTTGTTAAGAAAATGCCAAAATGTTTAATCAAGTATTACCCAGCTTTAAATATTTGTGTGTCTAGTAAAATACACTAACTACTTAAGCAACACAAATTTTTGCAGTACAATGATAAGAAAATCAAAAGAAAACATGCAAACTGCAGTTCATATTACAGGTTTGTTGATAATTAGTAAAATAGCTAAATAAAATGCCATTAATTTATGTGTGTGATTTTCATTATTGCCTTCACATTAGTTTTTACGGCATAGAAGTAAGGAAGTTGAGGTAAGAATAATTCTTTTTTGAAATATATGTTTATGTTACATACTCATCGCTTTGGCGTTGAGTTTTTGGGCACAGCTTATAACAATTAGGACCTTATGGGCAAAATATCACTCTGAAGCATTAAAACCAACAGATAGAATACTTAAATTTACAGACGCAATAAATTTTGTTAACTGCTGAGTTGTTTATGGACCTCTTCTGAAGCATAAAAAAGGTTAACGTACAATTCTTATGACATACATACCACACGTCATTGAGTATTAGTAAGCACTTTATTGCGAAATTTGTGGTTTACCGAAAGCAACATTAAACATTCAAACAATATCAAGATCTAAAGTAGGTTGTAAATTCTTAGAAGGAACAATTTCTATCGAGCATAATTATCAGAACGCTTGTACAAGTCAAAGGGAGTTAGACTAATTAATTATGTTTTGGAAGATTTGTCTGGTGCACATCCAGCATCAGTTTTTCACTCTGTTGATTGGTCTGGCATAAGGAACTGGATATCCTTGGTAGGTGTAACAAGGGCAGCAACAACAGGTCTCCAGCAATTGAGGATGAAGAATTTTGGTTTCGGTGTCGAATTCCGTGTGTGATTTCGGGAAGGTCACGATTCCTGGCTTTATACTCATGCTGGTTTCATAGCCACGTTTATGAAGGCCTCGATGAGACCTTTTTGATAATGCACTTGCAGTTACCAAGGCAATGGTAAGAATAAGACACAGAGTTACGAGTTGGATCGCACGCATTGTAGGGATAGATACACGCCCTCCCACCATGCGTTTAAATTTCCTTTTTAGGACAAACGACTCGGTGATTGGTACGAGTGGCACCATGCCATCGCTGACTCAGGCGAATCAGTGTGCGCCGATTTGAGAAAGATCTTGGTGTCACGTACATGCGAGCAGTCTTATTTAAATAACGTTTTGGGGCATAAAACAATGTAGCCTTTTCTTTACAAATTGATGCAGTGTAGAATATCCCAACGGTGAGGCATCGGGTGCACACAAACTCTTTTACTTATTACAAATGCAAACAAATGGTTAATAAAAATGCGTACCACACAGTCGTACAAAGTAGTGACATTTTATGGGGAAGCCAGCGACTAAGGTAACAGAACACAACAGTTAGAAGTAAGCGAGGAAATTGACCATTGTTTTTCATCC